AGAAAGCTAAATCTAGGTGACCACTAGGATTTTTTATATAAAAAATGGTTTTCAGAAACACTAAGTAAAAGAAGATAAGTGCCCTATGCATGCCAGACAAACAGAAATTTACATTAAAATGGAGGTTAAGTTGGAAATAAGAACTTTTGAACACTAAGAAACTCCAGAAATGGTTGCTTTGTTGGGCTATATAAGGATTTCATCTAGAGTTCCTTTTAATAATGAAATATATTTTCTTATATCAGGACTTTTACACGAGTTGTAGTTTGAAGACTAGACTAGATTGGACCCTTGAAGATTCTGTCCACCTCTTAAGGCTATGAAACAAAGCAAGTTCAGTTTAATTTTGTTTTGGCCTCAGTCACTCATTAGAGGACATTATTTCCATTTTTTATTTTATACAACAAAATTTGAAATATGTAATAGATTTTTATATTGAGGCCATGTTGAAGTATTTGAGTATACTGAATGAAATAAAATTTCACTGGTTCCATTTTACTTTTTTGGGGTAAGCATCATCACTATTTATATCCCAAACTTTTGCAGCACCCCAAACAAAAACTCCATACCATTAAGCAGCAACATAGCGTAGTAGTTACGAATCGGGCTGCGAACTGCAAGGTAAGCAGTTCGAAACTACCAGCTGTTCCGCAGGAGAAAGAAGAGGCTTTCTGCTCCCGTAAACATTTACAGCCTCGGAAACCCTGTACAGAGTCGCTATGAGTTGGACCCGACTCCACGGCACATAACAACAACAGTCCCTATAGCCACAAGTTTACCTTGTCTGTATGTGTTTGCCTATTCTAGATAGCTCACATAAGTGGGTTCATACAATATTTGTTCTTTTGGATCTTACATTTTTGTCATATTTAGTATGTTTTCAAGGTTTGCCCATTCTGTAGCACATATCAGAACCTCGTTTTTATTTATGGCTGAATGATACTCCATTACATGAATATACCATATACCACATTTTGTTTACTCATTCTATTGATGGATATTTGGGTTGTTTCCACTTTTTTGGCTACTGTGGATAACACTGCAATGAACAATAGTGTACAAGTATTTTGCTTGAGTCCCTGCTTTCAAGTATTATTACCATAGGAGGGGGCTTCAAAAAGTTCATGGAAAATGGTATTAAAAGATTATGGCATTTTTCTACACATTTTTTGAAGCCCCTGTGTATGTTTAACTTTCTGAGGAACTGCTGTTTTGCACATACATTCTCACCAGTAAGACACAGGGTTCTAATTTCTTCACATCCTTGTTATTTTCTATTTTTTTCTGATCGTATAGTCATCCTTGTTGTTGTTGTTGTTAAGTGCCATCGAGTCGGGTCCGACCCATAGCGACCCTGTACAGGGTTTCCAAGGGTGTAAATCTTTACGGGAGTAGAAAGGCTCATCTTTCTCCCGCGGAGTGGCTGGTAGTTTCGAACCGCTGACCTTAAGGTTCGCAGTCCGATTCGTAACCACTACGCTACCAGAGCTCCTTCCTAGTGGACGTGAAATGGTATTTCATTTATGGTTTTAATGCACATATCCCTAATAACATTTTTGATAGTTAAGGTTGTGTGTCATTTGGCTGGGTCACAATTCTCAGTGGTTTAGCAATTATGATGTAGTCATTTCCATTATGAGATCTGATATAAAGCAATTATACCCATAATGATATCTACTATGAAACAGCCACTTAATTGAAAGACCGTTTTCACATGGGTGTGGCCTGCTTCCAATATCTGAATCTTTTGGTAATGCTTTCTTGCTTATTTCTGGATCTGGATCCAGATCCTGCATCTAGCTTGTCATCATTTGACCTCCGGTTCTTTGGACTTGAGGCACTGCCTGCTTTATTGCCTACCGATCCTGGGAGTTGTCAGCCTCTGCAGCATGTGAGTCAAAAGCTGGCCATCTTACCTGTTTAAAATTCATTTGCCTCCACAGTTAGTAGCCTACCATTTAACCTGTTGATCTTGGGTTTATCAGCCACTGCAGTAATGTGAATCAGGAGAAGTCTCCAGTCTGACATCTGACCCACAGACTTGGGTTTTGTCATCCTCTACAACTTCATGGGCTATTTCCTTGAGCTAAATCTCTCTGTATATATATATATTATTGTTGTTGTTTTTAAGTGCCATTGAGTCAGTTCCAACTAATAGTGATCATGTATAGGGTTTCTGAATGAGCTCTAGTAGCTACAAATCGGGCTGTGAACCTTAAGGTCAGCAGTTCGAAACTACCAGCTATTCTGCAGGAGAAAGATGAGGCTTTCTGCTCCCATAAAGATTCACAGCCTCAGAAACCCTGTACAGGGTCACTATGAGTCGGAACCAACTCCACGGCACATAACCACCACCAACTATAGGGTTTCTGAGCAGATGGTGGGTTTGACCCACCAATCTTAATGTTAGAAGTCCAGTGCTTATCCTACAGCACCACACCAGGATTTGCTCTCTCTCTGTAAACATATAAGCGCCTCATTGGTTTTGCTTCTATAGAGAACCTAGCCTAAGACAACATTTAACATATTTTCATGTACTTACTGGCCATTTGCTTATATTCTTTGGATAAATGTCTATTCTTTGTCCAATGTTTAATTGGACTGTTTCACTTCTTAAGCGAATTTAAAAATAACTATTTGAAGCAAACTGGAGCAGCAAGTAGAACCAGGAAAACCAGAAATCAACAGCGTTGATACTTAACTATTCAAAATGGGGCATGAGTTGATGCTCTGACAAAAGCAACAAAAGGTGATTTTGCTTCCATTCCAAGAGCCAAAAGGAAGAAAGAATCCACAAAAGTCCCACCGGACTCCTTGAGGATTGCCTTCAGCCTCATCTGTGATCTGTGCACACTTGTCATCTCCACAAACTCCCACTTATTTCTACTTCTCTTCTTTCACCAAAGGTCCCATTGACTGGGTTCTCAGGCCTTGTTCAATTCCAAACATTTGTTCTCCCCATTCCCAAGATTTGCTGCCCACTCATTATGTAAACCATGATTATAAGTATTTATGGGAAAACACTGATACTCATGGGAAAACCATATTTTTAAATATCAGAGTTTCAACAAATATTTACTTAACTATTATACCCTACAGAGTGAATCAAAACTTGAAATCCAGCTCCAATGTATTATGTGACTTTGGGTAATTATTTAACTCCACTGTATCTCAAATTTACCACCTGCAAAATGAAGAGGACCTACTTCACAATGCTTTTAGGGGAATGAAATGAGAGTACAGTAAGTCTCATTTGGACAACTCAACACTTGCCCTTTAATGTTATGTAAATTTTCCCTTACTTTCAAACGAGTGAACCAACCTTTACTAGCAACAAATTCTTCATCACAATCTCCTTGCTGCATACGCAGATTTTAAATCATAGATATACAGCTTTGAGTCTTTTAATATGTTTCGACTCACCTACAAACGCCACTTAAAAATTGAAATGGATCTTGTTTATAACCCAGGGACTGCCTATGTATTATCTCCCCAAAGTGCTTGATCATAAAACCTACCTGGGTCATTTAAAAAACAAACAAACAACCAGATTCTACTTTCCTTCTAATATTAATTCAGTAGGTATATAGAGTTGTTTGGGGACTTTCATTTTTAACAAGTGCCCAACGAAATTCTTACAAGTGAGATGAGATCTCTGAAAATTTCTCCATCATATCTTTGACATTCTCTTTTTTGATATTTCTCTCTTTTCCTTTTTTAGCTATGGAAGTCTATTCATAGTAGTGAAGATACACAAGTTCTTCATCATTCAATCAACACAGAGAAAAGAATGTAGGATCCACGAAACCTTTTACCAATTCCAAGTCCAACCCTGGCACTTCACTAGCCTTTGGGCAGAAGATAAGCATCCTCACAAGGAATGATTCATTCTTCCTGGAGTGGCAAACTCCAAAACCTATGAACTCATCAAAGATCTATAACCAAGATGTACAACCTATCCTTCACAATATCCTCACTTATCCCTTCTTACACTGTCTCCATCCTGTCCCCGTATCTCTCCCCACCCCACCCCCTGACTAACCTAGCTCTTTCTAATTATAGCCCAGGAGACTTGAGTACTTCCCAATTTCTCAAGTCTGGAGGCTCCTTTTGACTTCCTGGCTACAGGAGGCCAAAATTAAACCACGGTGTGGTTTAATACTGTTCTTCCAAAGGGAAAGGGGGAATATTTCTTGAAAAGCAAGAATGTTAATCAGAAAATAATCTCATCCACTGGCATATACTTTATTCTTCACACCTTCAGGATCTGGGTATTGCAGGTATGATATATGTTTTTAGGTGCTGTAGAGTAGGTTTTGACTCAGAAATCCTGTATAGGGTTTCTGAGTAGAGGATGGTTGAGTTTGAACTGCAGACCTTGTGATTCAAACTGACCTTGCAGTCCAGTGCAGCATCACACCAGGACTCCATTCAGGTATAATATGGTGGTGGTGGTGTGCCGTGGAGTTGGTTCCTACTCTTAGTGACTCTGCATAGGGTTTCTGAGGCCTCATCTGTCTCCCGCAGGAATGGCTAGTAGTTTCAAACTTCTGACCTCAAGGGTAGCAGCCCGATTCATACCCACTACACTACCAGAGCTCCTTATTGCAGGTATATGTTGTTGTTATATGCTGTGGAGTCGGTTCTGACTCATAGCGACCCTGTATAGGGTTTCTGAGGCTGTAAATTTTTACGGGAGTAGAAAGCCTCATCTTTCTCCCACGGAACAACTGACCTTAAGGTTTGCAGCCCGATTCTTAACCACTATGCTACCAGAGCTCCTTTATTGCAGGTATATGTTGTTGTTAAGTGCCGTCGAGTCGATTCCAACCCATTGCGAACCTTATAGGGTATCGACCAACCTTGCAGTTCAACCGGCTTTGCAGTCTGGTGCATTAACCCACAGCGCCACACCAGGACACCCCACAGTGCCACACCAGTATATAGAGATAGGTAATTTGTCTAATTTTTAAGTCTAAAAATTGAATATCTGCTCTTACCTCTGCAGATTTTTTGTGTTGATTTTGGACTCTTGACTTGCTCCTATACATTGAGCCAGACATAAAGGAAGTGGAAGGACCTGTAAACGACATTAGAAAAGAATACTGAGACTTATTACTCACTGATGTTAAATAAGCAAATAATCTCCAGAGAATACCAAAGATATGATGGAGAAAACTAAAGATCTCATGCCACTGGAGAAAACAGGCACACTGTACCCATGAGAGCCTCAGGATAGAATTGAATGACATTTGTATGTGACCTCCCAGCATGAAAAAACTTCAGCAAACGGCTGAGATGATTCAATGTTACGCAATCACACCTCATAATATTTTGATCTAGTCAGAGAAAAAGTAACTTTTGCAAAAACAACTATAAGACCTTAAAATGTAGAGCATCTGTGCATTTCCCTAATAGCTTGCTGTTGCCGTTTACAAATTACTCCCCCATAGTCAAGCTACAAAATTAGAATCATGGCCTATATTTTATGCTTGCATACTTTTCTACCTTCCTAGAAAAGCAATGTAAATCACTACTGGATTTGACCTTTATTGTTAAGGTAATGAAAAATGAAAAACAAAATGAATTCTTCCACCTAATTCATCTATCGCTGATGAAATGAGTAAAAGAAATGGTGCCCACACTTTTCTATCATAGAAACGTTATTCGTTTAACCACTAAAGGAAGCATTAATCAGCTTGTTCTCAAGTCAAAGAAAGTGTCAAGGGGGAAAAAGACCCACAGCTGTTCTACTCACTTTCGTCCGAACTGTCACTGCTGCTGGGAGGTCTATGACGTTTCATCTTGGAGCATCCTAGGAAAGAGAAAAACATTGAATAAAACAAAATCGATATGCTGTCCCACAGATCACACAGGGTAACAGTGGGCAAATCACACATATCAAGAATATTCTCAGATGATCTAAAGTAATAGGAGAAGAGTATAACCAAATCCACCAATACAAAGTGTATTACAAACTGTGTGTGGCCACACCTGTGCTTCAGAAGAGCGCCCAAACTACAGACAGTGAATATAGAAATGGCTGGAGCCACAAGTATGGCCACATATATGTAGTATCCACTTAAACAAGGAGGCAGCCATGTGGCTGCCACTAGCCAGAGGTCCCTAATGTAGCGGTTTACTCACAGCTACTAACCAAAGGTTGGCGGTGTGAATCTATTCAGTGGTAGCACAGAGGGAAGAAGTCCTGCCAATCTACTTCTGTAAGATTTGCTGCTGTTGTTAAGTGTCATTGAGTTGGTTCCGACTCATAGCGACCTGTACAGGGTTTCCAAGGAATGGCTGGTAGGTTTGAAGGGAAACCCCTATGGGGTGCAATTCAATTCTGCCACACATGGATTACCATGAGTTGGAATCAACTGATGACAGTGGGTTTTTCTTAAGGAAGGAAAAGGTAGTTGTGAATGCAGAGCTGTCCAAGGGCAAGGTTTAAAAGCATGAGACATGGATGAGGAAAGACCCAGTGAAGCAGGTCTCACCTTTAAGAGTACAATTACACTGATTATGGGCCCACCTTACCTTCCTCTTTATTGTTCTCTCCCTGTCCACATCCCCCAAACAACTAGTATAATGTAAAACTACAAATCTATATACACTGTAAGAAATGTTAGATAGCATTCATGTATTATGAAGAGTGCATGATGCTTTGGATTAACTAAAACTTCTAAACGTCTTTCTGCCCTTCTCCGGGTATAGTCAATGACAAAAAAAAAAAAAAAGGAAGTACCACCCTTCTGGGAACACACCAACACTAATGTACAGGGAAAAAGGAAGACATGGTTAAATACTTTAAGTCACAAAGGAAGTACTTAAAATATAAATTAGAATGATCGTAACACAGTTGGTAAATGACATTCTTTAATTTGCTCCAACATACAAAATGTTACTGGGGTTGTCACAATTCAACACAGAATAAAGATCAGGGCTACTGTCTTCAAACCATTTACAATCTACTGAAAAGGTAGAATCCTAGTACAAGTTCTCTTTGAAAAATTATGAGTAATAGCAATGAAACTGTATGTTAGAAAGCCAGTAGATGGAATTCTGGGAATATAGCAGTGTAAAAAGACCATCAATCTGACCCTCTCTCAGAAAAAGAACAAGAGATACAACAAGGAAAAAGCACTCAGCTGAGGAACTTTGAATCGGGAGCAAAGGAAAGCAATGAGGAGCTACAGAATGGCAAGAGTCAACAAATCAAGTTGCATATGGTTCCAACTGCTGCAGTGAACTGGGGAAGTGGCCCTAGAAAAAGATCTGGCTTCCCTATCCATCTGTTGGCATAGTGGCTAAAACACTTGGCTTGTTAACCAAAAAGGCCAGCAGTTCAAACTCACCGGCCAGTCTATGGGAGAAGGATTCAGCAGCAACCCTATGGGGCAAGCTCTACTCTATCCTACAGGGTCACTATGAGTTGGAATTGACTTGAGAGCAGGGGATTGTTTTTGTTCCTCTAACCATCACACTCTTTGCCTGTGAAAAGACTCAAGACTACTCTAAAATTACAAGGCAGACCTCTCCTGTTTTGAGTGTGCCTGTACCTCCCCTGACAATATCGCTACAACCCTACTGTGAATTACCACACAAAGTTCCCTGAATTGGAGTCCTCTCTGTCTCTCTGTGCACCCTATAGCTCAGGTCTTTGAAGCCAACAGAACGGACCTCTCCAAGAGTCAATTTGGGTCAGGCTGCTCCTTCTTCCAGGCGGTGCTACAGTTTGCTGACTGAGGCTGCTCTGTGCTATGAAGCAGGCATCTTCAGTGGAGACTACACCCACAGCCCACATATTCTGAGTGGGGGTGCCTCTGACAGCAGCAAGAGAAGACATCCCTGGGGCTCCATTCAGAGCACAACAAACTCCCACACCCAAGCCCAGACACTGTCACTTGCAAGCCTAAGGTGAATTTCTACAGAAGGCCCCTGGAGTAGAGTCTGTTCCCATAGTCAGCACTCTACTTGCCTCTCTGAGCACTCCATAGCTTCAGGCTCCCGAAAGCAACAATACTAACCTCAGCAGGGGTCAATGTGCATTAGTCAGCCCTTACTTCAAGCTAGCCCTGAGGACTGCTGTCTGAAGCTGCTGTGAAAGGCAGAGAGGCATCTTTACAAGGCTCCATTCTTAGACAACAATGGGGAGATAGGTACTGATAACAACAAGGCAGACCACTGTGGTAACCTGACTGAAACATGAGACCCCTCCTCCACCTGGTTGCCAAGTTACTGCAAACTGCTAAAGAAGGTGCCTGCAGTGAAGTCTGCTTCACAGTCAGCACCCTACCTGCCTTTCAGGGTATCCCACAGCTCAGGCCTCTGAAACCAGTAAGGCAGATGTCCTCAGGATCAACTTAAGTCCAACTGAGAACTGCTGACTAAAGCTGCTGTGTGCTAAGACATAGGCATCTTGAGTAGAAGCTACATCCACTGCCAACGTATTATGGAGTATGCTCTAACAGCAACAAAGCTTTTTTGATCTCCTTGGTGGTCCACTTGGAGTGTGACAATTCATCCCCTACCCATTAACTGTCAGCTGCTGGACAAAAGGTTCACTACAGTGGAGCCAGGAGGAGGGTTCCCTAAGAGGAGACTGCCCCACTTATCAAGCACCATAGAATCATTGGGGCTCTAAAATCAACAGAGATCTCTTGGAGTTCCTTCTGTGGTGTGTCAGCCCTTTCTCCTCCTGAAACAACTGGGAAAGTCGGCTTGTGCTTTCCCTGAAAGCCAACTCAGACAGAAACAGTTGCCCCCAGGGGAGGAAAAGAACTCTCAGGCAAAAGTGGAAGGCAACACTCAGCCCTAAATGGGCCTCTATAGGCGTGCATTCTCTGACTGAAAACATGGTCACAGAAACAGAGAAGGGAAGGGAAGAAAAAGAATACCTATAACTCTTATCATGTGGTGCTGCGGATTAATATGCCAGACTGCAAAGTCGTTTGAACTGCATGGTCGGTGGTTCAAGCTCACCAGCTGCTACTCAGAAACCACTGGACAGACTGGACAGTGCTTAACAACATATATCTACATAGTTATTAAGTGCTGTCGAGTCGGTTCCGACCCATATCAACCCTGTACAGGGTTTCCAAGGCTGTAAATCTTTACGGGAGCAGAAAGCCTCATCTTTCTCCCGTGGAACAGCTGGTAGTTTCTAACTGCTAACCTTGCAGTTTGCAGCCCGATTCATAACCACT